CTGGGATCATGACCTGAGCCGAAGGCAGCCGCTTAACCAACTGAGCCACCCAGGTGTCCCTGCTTTTTCTTTTTTAAAGCATATTTGTAACCTCAAAGCTGAGCAGAAGTGACTTTACTTTCTCAAGGTCGATACTGAGCTGATTGTGTCCCCTCCTTTACCACCCCATCATTCCTCTCACCTTCCCTAAGGCCACAGTCCACAACTTAGGTTATTTTTGCTTCAAAAATTTGAAAGAACTTCATGATGAATTTTTTTTCTTTTTCAAGACATCTATTATCACTTTGTTCAAGTGTAAATGTTCCCTTAACCTTTCGAAATAAATTTCCTTTTGTAATTTTGAAAAAAAAAAAAAAGTTAACCTGTAAGATGAGAGAGCCGACTAATCTGTTTTTGAATTTTTAATTTTGATTGTTTGAATATGAATTTGAAAAATAATATAAACCTCTGTATAGTAGCTTCTGCACATAGTAACTGCCCTTGAGGACTTAAAAAAAAAATCACATAAACAGTCTGAAGATTGACCCCATTCTGTAATTAGCACATTCAACTGCACAGAACTGGACTTAGGGGGGAAAAATGTATCTGGATTTCAGGAAGAAAATGCTACGCCTCTAATTTAACCGAAGTCAGCTAGGTACAGAGGCTTTGCTGAGTACTTTCTGTGTTTCATATTACTTAGTACTCCCCTCGGCCCTTCTATGCTTCCTCCATTTTATGGATGAGCAAACTGAGGTTTACACCCAAGGGTACACAGCTAGCCGGTCTCACCTGGGGCCTGAACCCAGGCCCTCGGGCTCCAGACCAGCCTTCTCGCCTGCCAGACGAGGCGTAGCAAAACCTTAATAAGGAACAAACACTATAGGTGGGGGACGGGAAGGAGACCAAAGGAGACTTCGACTTTTTACTGTTACACATCTGGGTATTGTTGGATTTTTTCGTTTGTTTGTTTCTACAAAAATATTTACTTTTTAGTAATTAAAAAGGAAGATAAAAGTGTTTAAATGCTTTTTATTTTTTAAAGCAGATTAAACAATGCCCCTGCCAACATGTTTTCTTCGACTGAGCCAAGTGCAGGTTTCAACCAGCTGCAGGAGTCACTGATAACGTGGAGGGGTCAGGGACGAGAGGCTCTACTGCAGCCTCAAGGGAAGCAGAAAGACCACACTCATCCATCCTGTGCTGGGAATTGAGGGTTTGAGATAGTTCTTCCAGGAGTCTGGAGCCTGGAAGGAAAGGCAGACACTGGCCTGACCTACACTGATCACTTTGAAGTGTCCTTCCTTCTGCCATTTAGTGGCTGTGGATGCCGTTTCCTGGGGCATGTACTTCTGAGCACTAGTCTGTAAGATGCTCCTAGAAAAAAGGATAAATATGTTACTCCCTGGAGATTTGTAAAGCACATTAGCACATTAAATGCTCTGAAAAGTCCTGCAATAAAGAAAACTACTTCAGAGGGGTGCCTGGGTGGCTCAGTGGGTTAGAGTCTCTGCCTTTGGCTCAGGTCGTGATCCCAGGATCCTGGGATTGAGCCCTGAATTGGGCTCTCTGCTCAGCGGGGAGCCTGCTTCCTCCTCTCTCTCTCTCTCTGCCTGCCTCTCTGCCTGCTTGTGATCTCTATGAAACAAATAAAATCTTAAAAAAAAAAAAAAAAAGAGGAAAGCTGCTTCAGTGTCCTGAAGCAGGGTGTCCTGACTTTGTTGTCCATAGAACCCTTTTCTTCCTGTAAGTCCTTTCAATATCTTGAGCAACATCCACCTTGAGAAATACCATCCCAGTTGGGCAGGGACAGTCCGGTCCCCCAAAGCCTCACTAAGCCCCCATGGAAGAGTTCCCTGAATGTCATATGAATGGGCAAAAATAAGGAGCAGATGTTCAGACACATGGTCCCATACATCATTGGGAGC